GGATGTGAAAAGAAGTTTTTTTTTTAGATTTTATATATACATTTTAAATAACAAAAAAACCAACTAAATTACTATACTGATACCATAGAATTTCATTATAATTTATCAAGCATTGCAAGCTGTATTTAGGTCTAAAAAATAGGAAATTTCAAGCTCACTAAAGATTTACCTTATTGTTTGAAATCTTGTGTGAAAAGAACGAGATTAACACAATAACACATCAAAATGGGTGAGAAAACCACTAGGGGGACACTCTGAGTTTTCGATTGCTTATACATGTCATATACAGAAGTGTATATAAGGGAGCATTTCCAAAAATGGAAAAAGGTGGGCAGGGGGGCCACTGTGTTTGATTCAGTACATAAGCAATATCTTAGCAAATAGAAAAGAGGTTCTTGTTTTATATTCTACCTTGTCAATATCGGTAGTTTGAGTTCCTAATTCAACAAAATTAGACTTTGCATTTTGACATCACAAACATCTAATTTGAACCAGTGCTGCATTCAACATACCATGTGACACACAAAAATCGATGTTTAGCTGGGTAATTTAATATTTACTTTTAAATTTAGAAATTAACTAAAGTATAATACTTAAATTTGAATTATAATCTACAATTTGATACCAAACTTATTGACACAAATTCATAAAATAGTAGTTCCATAAAATTTTGAATGCAAGTCATCAAAAAGAATGACATGGCCTTTGACACGTGACCCATCCTGATAGGATTAAATGGATTTATGTAATAAATATAATAAAATAGTATTTTTGATTAGTCCAACTACCCATTAACCAAAACTGATTACATTGAATAATGCCATGAAAAGAATCAACAATTTAAAATTAGTTTCCAATTTTTCTGCCTATTGAGTTAATCAAGTTTCTTCAGCTTAACTGATTAGTGTCACAGTTTACAAAAATAATCAACTAATTGAAATTAGGTTTTCCAATTATTACTATTTCTTTGGTTATTCCAAGTATCCAAGTAATTGAAGTATTGCCATTTGATTTACTTGTTCTCAAGCACAATGGTACACAGTGGGCTATCTGCACTCTTCACACCATAGGTATCAAATCCTGACTTGTAGCATTAGAAGCTATTTTGAGCATTTCTTAAAAATAATTGAGTAAATGAATGTACACATATGTGCTGGTCAAAATGCATGTTACAATCTTTATTGTTTTTCCTTTCTTCTGTGTTGGATTAAAAATTATCATCAACTTATGTCAATAACACTGACATCAAAATATAGATCATAATTAAAATTTATGTTATTCAAGTTTTAATTTTTGATTTAAAAAGGAAATATTTAAATAAGTTCTCAACGTTCACTGCCCTGATTTCTCCTTTTAAGATTTTTTCATTCCTTTTATGGCTTTCAGTGTGTCTAATCTCAATTTGCTGAGCTTTAAATAGAACTGCCCAACCTATGTTGTATACCAAATATACATGTTTATAGCCAATAAAAGGGGCAAAACTTATATGTTCATTTGTTTACATTGTGGCAGTCAGAGACAGCAATTTCCAACAAAATATTGTTGTGTATTGAATGAAGTCGATGCTTTGAGCAGTAATGGAATTTTTTAAAATCTATTTGTAGCTTAGTTTGAAAGCTGGATAAATTACAGTAGCTTTGGGACATTCTATTAGAGTGCCTAATTTCTAAAATGCATATATGAAACAACATGAATTATCTTGTGGACAGTCAACACAGAGTGCAAAAATGTAATTTATTAAAGTATGTTCCCAAGTAGAAACAGACCTATAGTTAAGGTAAATGCTAAATTCCTTATTTTTTGTGTGTGTATTCTTTAACAAAACTAACCAAAATGTAAAAAATAGAAACTTGTTTAGCTAACAAAATATAAATAAAACAAAAAAAAGTAAATAAAAAGTTTCTTGTGATGCTTGCGTAACTCACATAACACAATTTGATCTGTTTGTTTATACTAAGCTGTTCCAATGTGATAAACTGGATTTCATATACTCTGAGACAGTAAGTACACTGTAAATCAATAAAACTAAAAGAAAGCAAATGTGAAAAACTCGGAAGCTAACGCTGTTTGGATAAATATTTGTAATAATCTGTTACAATCTGCAGTCATTCAATAAAAAAAGAGGCATTTTTAGTTATAAAATTCTTAACTTTTGATTTCGGCTTACATTGTTGATTTTACTACAGTTATTGCGAGTGTTGGAGAAAATAAGAGATAAAAGTATAAAGTTTAAAAACTTTCAATATTTAGGAGGTTTTAGAGATTATGCAAATGAAATATGAAAACCCTAAGATGAAAAATTATATATATATTGTTAACATAAAAATCAATGATCTCATATGTACAACAGATTTGTAATGTTTACTGAAAGTTTGCCAAATTTTGTGAAGATACACTTAGTACATTCAGTTACAGTATGTATAGTTTCATGGTGGTTACAAGATTGTTCATATTAACCCTGCCCATTTGCATAAGGCAGTGGTTTCCAAACTATGTGTCACAGCATGTTGCTAAGGGTATTGCAAGAATTTCACCTAACAAAGAATAATTAAAAACATAAAAAAAATTCTACAAAACAATATTTCATGTAGCAGCAGGGGCATTGTGCAAATCAAGTAACTGGGTTAGGGTTTCATCAGTGAAAAAGGTTTTAGAACCATTGGCACAGGATTAATTAAGAAGCCTGACAATTAATCAAATAGCAAATTCCACAAGTGGTAATTGCCCAGCTATGATGTACCATCAAGAACCCATGGTTCCTTCAGAAGAGTCTTGTATAGAAATGTAACAAATCCTGTTACTCAAAAAAGGACACTATTATAGTTCCATCATTAAATTGAAACAAACATGCTTTGGAAAACAAAAACTTCAAATTTATTGAGAAATACTGGGAAGAAACATGCTATAAATCATCTACTAAAGCTTATTAGCAAAAATTAGCATAATAATAATAATAGATGGTACTATAAAGTTGCATTCAAATTTCTGTTGAATGTAGCAGTTGTAAATGCACTGATCATTTACAACAGACATTCCCAACCTGGGGTACATTTGCACTTCTCAGGGGAGCACATAGGGGTCTGAGAGTATAACCATGGTTTACATGGTGTTTTAATCTACAGTCAGACAAAAAGAGCAAAGTGGTTCACATAAATATACGCTCTTTACACAAAAAATTGTGATCATGGTGAACGTTGTGATGTTATTGCTGTGCTACATTATAACTCATGTTTTCAATAAGTAATGTAGAACATAAGCAATATAGAACACATTCGTTACAAATCAGCTGATAAACTAGGGATCAGCCAACTGGGCAAGCTCTCCTCCCTCCATTAGTGCTTTGAGAGAGAACGCCCATGGGGTACAGAGTAACAAAAAAGTAGGTAAGCCCTGATTTACAAGGAAATTCATGGAAAAAATGAACAGATTGCTGAATTCAGACAATCTATCATTGAGCACACACACTTTGGAGGCATGAAAATTAAGAACAGTACCAACAGGAAAAGACACAAAAGTTGCTCAGGATATTACACACAATGACAGAAAAGTCACAATTGAGGGGAATGTCTCTACTTATTGTGGAAAATGCAAAGGAAATGTTTGAAGTGTTTCAATACACACTGCCAATACTGTAAATGTTCATAAAAGATCTTTTGTGAGCTAATCTTGTCTATCTTGGATGTAAAATAAATGGTTATGTACAATTGCTTTCATTTCCCAAATTTTCTATGTTCCACCAAATAGATATAATATCAACAAGAAGTACATATAAACTGTACATTTATGAAGTGCCAGATAATATTCACAACATCCTTAGCTTTAATGCTATGGAGAAATAACTCACGAAAAAGATTCTGGTGAATCACAGCATCCAACGAGTTAAGAAATATGTTTGGTTTTGCAATTACATATTAGAAGTGTAACACAGTGTCAAAAATCAGATAATTTTAACTTTAATAACAATAAAGTAGCCCAAGAGTTAAGCACTACCAGAGAGTCACCCTATTTCAGTTGCAGGTCAAAAGTTAAAGACAGTGGCTGATAACTCAAAAACAAATATAACACCCCTGTGGCTAAAAAGGGTGAGCATGTTTGGTTGCAATGGAAAATTGAATGGAGACTTTAGAATCACAAGAGATCCCAAATGCTATTCATTTGGTAGCATTCCAATGTTTAAAGATGTGTAGTGTGCTGGTTAAAACACAAAGTTTTCTCTCTGAATTTTAAGTTTGTTCTAGAAAATAAAATGATTGTTCTATCATCAAAGTAATTAAATTTGTTGCTAATTAAATAAAGTACACTTTAACTGATTAACTCTTTCACTACCACAGGCATATATTTCCCTCTCTAAAATTCTGCTGCACAAGTTTAGAACTTTGTACCACTATGAAGAAAGAGTATTACCAATTTAAAGTTTCATATAAGTAATGAAATATCTTTTTTACTTTTTATTGCTTATCATTTAAAAATAAACCTGGTAGAGTTGTTTATCTATAATCATGACAGTGAAAGAATTAACAGTTTCGCAAAACCTGTTTTGTCACTTGAATTATTTTTTTAAATATATGGCAATAAAATACACTACAGATAATAGTGTATTATAATACAACAAATAATAGACAGAGAAGAAAACATAGATTAGTAATAAATGTATTTAGAATTGTTGATCGTATTTTAAATACACCAACATTGTCCAGACTTAGCTGTTTATTTTTGCCCATTTCCTATGGATTACTTAACTTGTTATTACATTTTATGGTCAACAACAGCAAACTTAATTTTTATCAGCCCAGAATCCCAGCTCAAAGGCCAGTGGTCTAGGTTGATTTGTAAACATTAGACTTTTTCCAAGCAAGGTCATTCAGAAGGAAAACTTGTTGGATTGGGTAAATATAAATTTACTGACTAAACTGATGCAATGTTCTAAAAGTAAGAAACACATTTTTAGAGGTTCATTATATAAATGTCACTCACATAAGATGAATTACATAAGTATGTATCACAAAGCTTCAATCTTTTATTCATTAGCTTAAATTTATAAGCATCACATACTACATGAATACAGACATATATAATGTGTTTACAAATGTGGATATTCCATACTCACAGTTCCCTCAGGTCCAACTATAGTTCCAATCCACCTGAACAAGTTGTCTCCGTCAGGAAAGGCTGATATTCCTTTATATCCAGACATCTGAAAAATAAGATAATAGATGTAATATTGTAACTGTTACACTACAATGACATAGAACTATACTATTATTAAAAGTGAACATAGGGCTTTAGATCTACTATAATACATAACACATTCATTTCTAATGCTCACAGAATACTGTACTATATTTAAAATAACTATTTTCCTAACCTGACCTACTTAATTACATAATTTTGAAACTTTTTACTCAAGTTTTGAAATACTTTTAACTTTAACATCATTTAACATTATAACTAAACCCGAAATCTCTAAAAAATATACATCCACTAACATGCAAATGAAGACATAATTGGTTCAGTGTATTAATGTTAACTAGCCAAGACCAACAAAAGATTTGCTGTAGTTTTCCTGCTTTCAGTTGAATTTTCCTCATTTTCACACAGGCCATTTAAGCTACACTTTCTTGCAGCCATTATGTGTCAGATCAATAAATCCTGGTCTATTTGAAAAAAATGTATGCATGTAGATGCAACTTTATTTAATAAAGCTACACATAAAGTAATAGTATTTATAATAGTGTACAAATTAGTTATGAGTATTTAGTGTATGACATGGTTTTACATGTTGAAACAAAGAAACTCACAAAAACAAGAGTAAAACTGGTAGTAAAGAAAAACGTAGCAGTCTATTTAATGTACAGATGCCATGTTGTTGCAAAGTAAAGTAAATATAAAGTTGTAACGAAGGCAAACTTAGCTGAATGTAACTTGATAAGCACACGGTTTAGAACACACTGCGTGTTTGTATTTTTGACCTAAGTAAGTCAAGGAAGTGCACAGAAATTATATTTAGTGTAATGTTTATTTTTTTAGGAAATTACACATGGGTTAAGTGTTGTTTGTGTGAAATTTTTTGCAAATAAAAACACTAAAGTTGAAGCCTTTTTCTTTCCTTCCTCAAGTATTTTATTTTTCAAAAATAATATCTTGAAACTTGTTAAAATTAAAAGATCTTATAACCCAAACATTTTCAAAAGGTAGACTTTCTTCTCCAGAGACAAACTGGGAAAGTTTGCCCCCCAACGAAGAAAGGTTTACATGTTAAATGTGCTTGGATTTATGGGGTTTCTCGTTTTTGTCTTAAAATTATTTTTTGAAGATATTTGTTTTCCCAACACTACATCTGAAACATTCTTTTCTAAGTTTAACTTAGTATACTAACTTATATATATATATAAAATTGGGGACACCAATTCAAACACCATATAGCAAATATCTGAGTATAAGTAAGAGAGAGAACTTTTTTTCAGGTACCTTAAGTGATAAATTATAGAGATTATAGTTGATGGCATTGCCAACTTTGTAGTAATGACTGTACATCTTGTCACAGTCTTATATAGTTAACTAGCATATAGCCCATCAAAAATGGTGGGACAAGTACTACCACCTCACCCCATGATATATCCTAGCCTCACATTTCATAGCTAACTGAAATAAATAAATTTTGCAAAATCAAACTTGACCAACAAAGATGCAGAAAAATGCAGTTGAGGCAGTTAAATAGTCGGTAAATTCATTTGTGAGCCAATCAAAATTAAGATTATTCATGAAATGAATTCCTAATATATTCATAAAATAATTATTGGTAAAAAATCAGTTAGTTTAACAACTTCTAATATATAGAAAAGACAGTGCATTTTGGTAACACTATGTTCTAACAATGGCTTTTATGTCATGTTGCTTAGCAACAAAAGTATAACATAATACTGTTGTTAGGGTATGTACTGAAAGTATAA